AAGGAATAAAAGAAATTAAGTACTATGATCTTAATAGTTTTGTGGCCCCAAACTTCATGTATTGAACCATGGTGCCCGATGTGATGGCATTGGAGGTGGAGTCTTTGAAAAGTGCATAAGTCATGGGAGTGGAGCCTTCAGAAATGGGATTAGTGCCCTCTGTAAGCTTCAGAGAGAGCCCTTGTCAAGTGAGGGTACAAGAAGTCTGCCACCTGGAATCAGAGTCATCAGCCAGGCATGTAGGCAGCCTGATCTGAGACTTCCAGCCTCTGGAAGAGTGAAAGTAAATTTCTGCTGTTTATAGGCTACCCAGTCTATGGTATTTTGCTATAGAAGCCCCATTAGAACCAACCTAATATTTCTATAAATCTACTGTGAGCCAAGCATTGTGTAAACATGGAGCTACTCTCTACTGTTATCAGGCCTCCCTGTAATTTTATTAGCAGTTTATGAGTATATACTAGTAAATAGGGAAATAGATGATAAAGAGGTAATTATTTTAACCAACATATTCTTATTATAATAGCAACTTGAGAATTTTAATGTGCATTTGTCCAATTCCAGTGTTTGAACTTTTTGTGCCCAAGTAATGCTTTCTCTTACTGATTTACATTGATCAGTCTTTGCTGCTAGACTGTGAGTGTAATGAAGTTAGAAACTATATCGTTTATCTCTGTATCCCATGTAAGGAGACATGGCTTCCAACACAGGAGGTGCTGAATGAATTAGAAAATGCATGCTGTCAATTCACGTGAATTGACAGAACCCTAATTGTCCCTATGTTTTGACCCTATCTGGCCTATGTTTTAAACTGTATCACCACCCAGTGGCAAAAAATGACTTCTGCAATCTGCTGATTTGAAGTAAAAAGAAACATGTCTTAAAGCTAATTTTGCAAATTTATTGTCAAGAGGGAAGACAAGTGACACAATCTGCTAAAGAATTTTACAAATAAGCATACCATATAATTCATAGGAAATTGGAAAACCTCCAGGAACTTTGAGAATAAATGCACGTGTTTACCCTTAGCTTTCACTGAAGCTGAAAATAAAGAAGTCTACAGACGATAAAGAGTATCAGTCTTTCTTTGAATACTAGATGTCACATGAATTCCTTTTGTTCTTTCAATAAAAATCTCTAAATAGGCTTTAATGTTTGTTTTCACAGGAGGAAACAAAAAAAAATATTTTAGGGGTCTGTACTAAGATACAACATTCAAAGTCTTGATGTGCTAAATTGAAAATAGTTTCCCACAGAAAATTTTCCTACAGGATAGTGAACGTACAATGTAGTATACAGATGGTATGTTGTGGAATTGTGCACCTGAAACCTGTATAATTTTATTAACCAGTGTCACTGCAACAAATTGAATAAACATTTTTTAAAAATGAAGGGATCAACTTGGTGAGTTGGAATAAAAATGTAAGTTACATTGAAAAAATTTGAAATATATTTTTGTTGATTTCAGAGAGGAAGAGAAAGGAAGAGAGAGATAGAAACATTAATGATGAGAGGGAATCATTGATCAGCTGCCTCCTGCATGCCTCCCACTGGGGACTGAGCCCGCAACTGGGTCATATGCTCATGATTGTCATCAAATCTGGACCCTTGAATCTGCAGTTGATGCTCTATCCACAGAGCCAAACCAGCCAGGTCAAAAAAACAAATATTTTTCTACACCAATAGTGAAAACTATGAACTTTGGGTGATAATGTTATGTCAATGTGGGTTCATCGGCTGAAACAGACATACATATCATATTGGTGGGGGATGTTGACAATAGGGGAGGTTATGCATGTGTGGGGAGAGGAGGAATATGGGAAAGCTCTGTACATGTCATTCAATTTGCTATTACCTACAACTGATCAAAAAATAAGGTTAATTAAATATATTTTTCTTCTTTCTATTGTCTACAAGTTAATAATCATCAACTGTAGAATTATACTTTTTCCTTCACTCTTTATGAACTCATTCTGTGTTTAGCAACAAGCAAAGCCCGAAGAAAATTTAACTAGCCAGGATAACTTAGGAAAATTCTCTTAGAGCTTGGCAGGCCCTATGAAACCCTTCCTGAGACTCACATTTCCATTTCTGCTTGTGTGTGGAGAGGGTGGGTCGCCTTCACTGTGCTTGTGGAGAGGAGGAGGGAACATCACTGAAGGTACAATGAAGAGCATTGGGGCAAGTGGTGATGGGTGGGATCAATGCAGAGAGGATGCTCAAGAAAGGAGCAGGTTTTGGATTTGGGATGATTTCTGGTTCTGACACAGAGAATGCTGTTTCAGAGGGAAATTGTACTGGAGAGGCCCATGAGATCTTTATGATGTGAACTGAATTTCTGTGGAGATATAGATGTGAAATGAGGTCATGCCAGAAAAGTGTGCAGACTAAAATGATAATAGGCAGATCCCAACAGGGAAAGCAGTAGAACAGACTGAGAGGCCCTTCAGGATACCAGGAGTTCATGGTCCTTGAAGAAAAGGAATGCCTGATGAATGAGAGCCAATCAATACATGGATAAGTGCATGAGCCAAATCACTCTGCAACTTCATTTTCCCTCCTGATTTTGCTAGCTCCTTGTGATGCAGTTCCCGCATCACAGCACAAGGAATAGCCACCTTCCTCTGGACTGTCAGACAGCGTGCACATCATGGCACTCAGATGGTTCCCTGATACTTACCATTCACGTTCTCTCAGATTTTATGCAAAGTGAAAGAAACTAGGAGTCCAGGCTAGGTGTCTGGACTGTTCTGAGAGATTTTCCTCCCTGGATCCTCTCCCATAAACACATGTTGGTTGTGTTTTTTCTTTTTCTTTTTCTTTCAATTTCTAGGAAAGAGAGAGGGGAAATTCTTCATCTTTATGAACCAGCTTTATTGTAATAATGTATCCTGTTTCCCTCAGCCTGCTGCCCCTGGGCAGGTTTCATTACTGTGGGGACAACAATTCAAACCTATGTTATGAAAAAGAGTTAGTAAATGTAGTGAATATACCCAGAAGCTTTGTGTAAATGTCACATTCCCAACATAGGAATGGCTGGAAAATCTGCCTAACCTTTAGTCACCTTTTCAATATGGAATAAAAAAGCAGGTTTATTTCTGGAATATGATGAGTATTTAATATTAGGTCATACAATAACCCAATTCCTGATACAAATGTTTATAAGGATAATATTATTGATCTATGATAAAAGTGATATGTTAAATAGAAATAAACATTATTCAGTGAAAACTATAATATACATACGTAAACATTTTCTGAACAGGTTATATAGTTTATTTTAAATGTAATATTGATCAGCATAATTTCAATAATTGCAAATACTTTAAACATGAGTTTGAAAGTCAGAAGAAAGACAGGCACATATGACTGCTATTACTTAACCTTGTTCTGAGTATTCCAGCACTTTTAGAAAGAGAAAGAATTAGAGGTATAAATATGTTAAAGCTGCCATTATTTTCTAGAATGCATTCTTTATTTATTAAAATACTTAATAATAATTCACTAAGATTATCTAACTAATTAGATAACTAACTATGTAATTATCTAATAATTATCTAACTATTCAAACCTTAATGGCTTTGAAAATGATACAATTATTTTTATCATGCTTATATTCATGAAAACACAAAATGGAAATAGCCAGAAATATACTAGTACAGGGAGAAAGAACCTAATTTATCTCACATTAAATAGATTTTCAAACATATCAGTAAACCAAATAATCAAAGCAATGTGGTACTGTGACAATAATTCACAGGCAGACTAGTAAAATAGAATAGTGCATATTTATCTGTCTGTATCTTTCTATGTATATATCTATTTATCTATCCATATATGTTAATTTTTGCTTTTAATACTCACCTGAGGATATTTTTTCCATAGATTTTTAGAGAGAGAGAAAAACCCATGTGAGAGACAAAACAGTTGCTTGACTCACAAACACACCTCCCAAACATCCAGGGGCAGGGATCAAACAAACATACAACCCAGGGAGGTGCTCTTGGTTAGGAATTGAACTCAAGACCCTTTGAGTGCAGGCCAATGCTCTAATCACTGAGAACAGCAGCCACAGCTATCCATGTATACTTGTGTACGTGTATCTGTAGGTGTATGTATGTATATATCTATCTATCTGTCTATCATCTATTTATCCCTTCATTCATACACCCACTCACCCATCCATGAACCTGAAAGCTAAATAGAAGATTCACTTGAACCTGGAGCAACAGGAAGGAATTTAGGTTTTGCCAAGAACAAATGCAGACAATACTTGGAGCAGCAATATCCCAGATTATAAAACATTTATCCCATGCAGGCCCTTTTTCAAATGAAAAAGCAAGCTTAGGAAATAGGATTTTATTTAAAATTAGTAAGAAAGTCTCATAGAAATGTCAGCATGAAATATGCATGTATAAATATTGCCTGCTACAGGATACTGCCCACTCTCACATTAAGAATGGCCAACTCCTTTCTCACACCAGATGCAGTGTAAGAGCCCAGAGCTACAGCTCTTGCAGAGAAAATAGGATTCACAGGCTCATGGTGGCCCCAGATGACCTCTGGAAGACAGAAAATGAGGGAAGCAAGACTTCTTCCTTCAGTAATATGCATTCTAGTGTAGTGTGCTTCTCACAGCTGCACAATCACCTCACTGTCTGTGTAAAGATTCTTCCTTGCATGGTGTACTTACGGTGTAGGGGAACTCATTACAGGTTCACATTAATATTTCTTCTCCCAGCAGGAACCTCTCTTCCCAGGTGTGTGGATCTGATATTGAGAGTACCATCCCAATTTCCTGCTTCCCAACCTGTGCTACTCTGTACTGAGGAGGAGTGGGGGAAAGGAATAAGCAAAGCATTAAAAAGGGACAGGGAGAAGAGCCCTTCAGTTTACCCAGATGCCAAAGACTTCCGTTGGGAAGTTCTCTGTCCCACCATCTAGGAATGAACAAAGTTCAGTTGGAGTCTGAGTCAGAGGTGTCCCCCGAGGAAGATGAGTTACAGTTGCTGTTATCTTCATCGTTACTGCTGGAGTCTGGGGAGCTGCTTTCTGCCTTTGCCTCGTGCTCCTTCTTTTCTTCAGAACCCCGTGAGGCATGAGAATGGTCCCCATAAGTCTCTGAAGATGCCATCCCAGGAGCCGGCCCCTGGTTCTGTGCAAGCCCTTTTCTCCGAGTCCTTGCTGATGGAGACTGCACATTTGTCCTGACGATCTTTGGGTCCAGGCTTCCATACATGTTCATGATCTTACGCTTCCCTGAGGCGCTCTTGCTGTAGGCAGTGTACTCTTCAGGAGACAGACTTTTGAGCCAGAGCTTCAGGTCCACCTTGTACTGTTTCTGCAGCTTCTCAGTCTGCTGCCTATAATACTCTTTGTGGCTCCTTGGGAGGATCTGCCAGCGTTTACCAATTTCTTTCATCCGCTCCTTTATGGACAGACCTTTCAGTTGCCTACTGGACCACAAATCCTGCTGGAACTTCTGGGCTTCGTTCATGGGGGGCTCCTTGGGCTCTCCACGGAATTTAAACTTAGAAAAATAGGTTTTGGGGGAAGACTTCACTTTTTTCCTATTTCCCTTATGCTTCTTGGGGGCTCTGCTTGGGCTCCCTTTGGGGACAACAGAGGTCTTGGAGTTCTGCTCAGGCTCAGAGTGGTCTTTCCTGAACTGAGCCAGTTTCTCCTTAAACTCCTGTTTCTCCTTCAGAAAACCTTCAGTATATTTCAGCTTCATTGCCTCTGGGAGCTCCTTGTATTTCTTAGACATGATCTTAGTCAGTTCATGATACCTGAGTTTGGGGTGCATTTGGGAATACTCAAGCCGATTCTCCATGAAGAAGCGAATGTAAGGACCCAGGGGCTGCTTGGGCATGTCTGGATGTTTCGTGAGGTTTTTGCTTTTTTTGGAATTTTTAACATGTTCTTTAGCTTCCCGGACTAATTCTGTCAAGGTCCGATACTTTCTTATCTTCCTAGAAATGTCTAACCACTTGAGTTTGCACATTTCTCCAGAATAACCTTTAAAAGCTACTTTTCGCCAGTCCATACGTGACTGGGTTGTTTTGAATGTGCGTTTGTCATTGGATGGCAGATTCTTCTTCAGGCGGTCCAGTAACTTCACAATGTCTTCCTTAGGCCATTGGTCTTGGCCTTTATTTGATGCCATTTCTTTGGGCCACTTACAAGGTGTGGGTTATGCAAACACCACAGCAAAACCTTAAAAGTCTTCACGCTGAAGAGTTAGCAGGTGAGCTATCTTGGAAGTTTTGCGGTGCGTGTTCTGTATCTCTGAGGAAAAATCGGAGAGCGAATGAGAAAAATCACACCTCACTTGGAATATGCTCCTCATACAATTAAATGGCCTTAACAAAATAAATAAAAAAGTGCTTACCTCAGAAGCTAAATTTATGTTTACCTTCTGTAGGCTATATTTGCACTTTTCAAAATAGTCACATCACCTTTCATTCTAGCCTGCCTTTTGCCAGATCTCACCAGGACTTTGTTCAATGGAACAACTGGCTCCTCAAGGCTCAGTGTAAGAGAAAAGCCCTGGGAAGAAGAAAATATTTAAAATGAAAAGAGAAATGTGGAAAAGGCAGAGGACTGTTGCTCTCTACTGCCTTGAGTGTGGTCACCTTCTACGTGCAGCTCAGGGGTCTGTGACAGAAGGTACGGACTTTACATAAAATGAAACAGGCTGAGGAGACTTACATTCCCCTGGGGCCCTTTTCTATGAGTGAACCATGAACTTGGAGGAAATGGCTAATTTATAGATTATCTGGAGTGCAGGAGCATTGAATGATTTCTAATGAATCATATTGGTTCTCTTCTCAAATGTCAAGGAGTGAATAAGAATTATGAAATATTTACAATTTTATTCAGTTAACTTTTCTTCATCCTTAAGCATCTGTCACTTTTATTGTGTTACAACAAGGTTTTACAATTAAACTTTAGGTTTCATACCTGAAATATAGAACTTTTCCTCTAGATATCACAATTTGTATGCCCAAGGAACATAACTTTAAAAATAATCATGGAAATGTCTAGACAATAACAGGTTAAAATTCTCTAGCTCAAGAATAAACTAAAAGTAATTACATAATTTTCATTATGTAATTATATTGTCTTAATACAGTCTTAAACCTACGATAGTTAAATTAACTATATATGTACTTATTTATTTATTCTAATCAAAGAAGAACTCATTTACTTACAAGTGTGTACAAATCTTAAGATTGTATAATTTATCATCTCAATGCTTATAGGAACCCCAACTCAGCTGGGTCAGGAGTTTTGTGTTCTCTGGACTCTTGTATCCAAAGGCAGCCTTAACCTTCTGAGTTTTCAGCCAACTTCAAATGCCCCCCAAAACAATGAATCTGGTTTTTGAAATACATTTACTAGTATATAGAGATTTCCAATTAATTTCCTTTGGAATTTCCAGGAATAATCTATTTATCCCCTCTCCCCCTCCCCGTTTGTAATTCATCCTTAGCATTGATTTAAAACAGCATCCATATGACAAATATTTCCATATTCTATTTCCATTCCTGTTCCTACATCTGACTTTATTTTGAATAGTACTGTATTTGAATATAGGTCCTTCCCTTCAGTGCTAATTTAGTCTTTCCCTCTGGTCTAGAACTTGAAATCCTCTCATCTCTGGGATGGCTGTTTAAATTGTTTCGGTCCTCAGGAAGCCAACACGAATAAGGTTCAGGACCAAAAGGGCCTAAGAGATTTGGTTTGGGTTTTACTTGCTGGTTGTTTGGGTTTATTTGTTTGTGTCCCCACTGGGATTATTTCCCCCTTTCCTTTTGAAAAAAAAAAATTCCAGCCAGCATTGCTCAGTGGTTGAGCATCAACCTATGAACCAGGAGGTTAGGGCATGTGCATGGGTTGTGGGCTTGATCCCCAGTGGGGGGCATGCAGGAGATAGCCAACCAAAATTTCTCTTTCATCATTGACTTTTTTCTATCTCTCTCTCCCCCTCTCTGAAATCAATAAAAGTATACTTAAAAATAAAAAAATAAAGAGAAATCCAAGATGGCTGCTCAGGTAGACACCTAGCCGCAGCCGCACACAACAATTTCAATAAAATACAATTTCAACTAAAATATAAAATGGGCATTACCCAGAACTATAGGAAAGTCGACTGACTGGAAATTCTACAACGAGTAGCAAGGAGAAAACCAGAAGGAAGCTCGGAGGAGCTGTAAAAGCCTAAGGTACGGAGACACACAGCGTGCAGAGAGGACGGAGCCGGAGAGGAGGGAGGTTGAGTGCCTGGCGGGTGTTCCCTACCAGGAAGGAGATAAAAGCTCCAACTGTGCTGGGCTCCAGTTCCGACTGTTCTGAAACCCAGTTCTAGGCCAGACCCGGACACCCAGGCTCAAACAGAGGAGCTGGGCTGTAAGGCGGAACCCCGGGGGAGCGGCGAAAGGAGGTCCCAGAGGTGCACAAATTGTGCGCAGAGAAGGGATGGGTGGCTGTGCCGCGGGATTGCCCTGGTGGGAAGGAGACAGGGGCTCCAGACTGCTCTGAACGCCACCTCCAACTCCACTTCCAACTGAACTGAACCCCAATACCGGGCTCATTGGGGGAGAGCCTAGACTGTTTGGTAGCAGGTGAAAATCGAGGGCACCTTTCTCTCAGAGGTGCTTGCAATGAGTACTGAAGGACCCTAAGAGTCAGGAGTCACATAGGGTGGGGCTGACGGAAGCCAAGGCTGTAGGCTCCACCCTGAAACCCTGCCCCATCAGAGAAGCTGCAAAATTGCCAAAACGAAATAGATCACAAACGAAAGAAATGGAGGGCAAAAAGCGACTGGATATAGAGTTCAAATCTACTTATAAGTTTTTTCAAGAATTTCCTAGAAAAGATCGATAAGACCTATGAGGACATGAAAAGGGATTAACTAGAATTAATAAGGAATCAACAAGAAATGATAAGGGATCAACAAAAAATAAAGAATACATTGTCTGAAATAAAAAATATTATACAGAGTCCTAAAAACAGAATGGAAGATCGCAAGAATCAAGTCAAAGATTTGGAACATAAAGAGCCAGAAGACACTCCTCCACAGAAGCTAGAAGGCAAGAGAATCCAGAAAATTGAAGATAATGTAAGAAACCTCTGGGACAACTTCAAGCGAACCAACATCAGAATTATGGGGGTCCCAGAAGATGAGAGAGAGCAAGATATCGAAAACATACTGAAAGAAATAGTGACAGAAAACTTCCCCCACCTGGTGAAAGAATTAGACTTACAAGTCCAGGAAGAGCACAGAACTCCAAACAAAAGGAATCCAAAGAGGACCACACCAAGGCAAATCATAATTAAAATTCCAAGAGCAAAAGACAAAGAGAGAATATTAAAAGCAGCAAGAGCAAAGCAGGTAGTTACCTATAAAGGAGCACCTATACGATTGTCAGCTGATTTCTTAACAGAAACCATGCAGGCCAGAAGGGAATGGCAAGAAATATTCAAGGTGATGAATAGTAAGAACCTACAGCCAAAGATAATCTATCCAGCAAAGCTATCACTCAGAATCAAAGGTCAGATAAAGAGCTTCACTAATAAAAAAAAAAGCTAAAGGAGTTCATCACCACCAAACCAGAATTATATGAATTGCTGAAGGGGGTTCTCTCAGAAGAGAAAGTAAATAAAGATAAAAATTATGAAGAACAAATACGTAACTATCAACAAGTGAATCTAAAAATCAAGGAAATTAAAAAAAATCTGATGAACAATATTAACTGTTGAATATAATAGAATCAGAGGTATGGAAGGGGAGTGAACTGACGATTCTTGGGGAAAAGGGGAGAGGGGGATGTGGGAAGAGACTGAACATAAACTGTGCACCTATGGATGAGGACAATGGGGGGTGGGGAAAGGGCAGAGGGTGGGGTGGGAACCTGGTGGAGGGGAGCAATGGGAGGGGGAGGGGAGAAGAGGAACATTTGTAATAATATGAACAATAAAAATTTATTTTAAAAAAATATGCCTATTAAGAAAAAGAAACCAGAAACCAGACACATGAGCCTTAAAAAAAAGGAAATAGCAAATAGGACCTTTGCAAGGGTTTTCTAACTAATTGGACACATTTACTTTTTAGGTTAAGATGTATGAAGACACTAACATACATATATTATGTTGAATATTTTAGGTGGTTTATGATTTTCATAACTACTCAAAAACTAGAGAAATATCTTCTAAAAACTAAAAATCCTAGTGATATGGTACTAAAATAAAATATTATCAGTTAATTTATTATAATAAATATCCATATACTACAATTGCTCCAATCACAGATATTGATGTCAATTCAAATAATGAGGAAATTTGCTTGTCTACTTAGAGAAGATGCAAGCACTCCAACAGGTAAATTGAAAATATTTGTAATAAGAGGAAGTAGGCATGAATATATTTACTCTAAATTCCATACTCACCGGTTTGTATTAAGAATGGTCCCACCTCTGGAAGTTCTGTTGCTATCAGCGTCAAGAGGAAATCTCTGTGCTAAAAACAGAGCTCCAACTTCAGTCAGTCTACCTTGGGGAAGAAGTGAAGTGGCCTCTGCACAGATGTGCCTTTTATGACATTCCACCCAGGTAAGGCCACACCCACTTGATGAGATTGGATTATGTCTTCAAAAGGAAGTAACCATCCTGAACCTGTATAGATTACAGATGGAAGTAGGATGGCTCATTAGGTTTACAACACTCAGAAAACAACATTTGGGGGCTTTCATCATAACAGAATATAAATGTATTTTGCGGTTAAAAAAAAAAAAGACATGAAGCTCTCAAGTACGATATTATTAACTAACTTCACCATCTTACAGATGCTGTAGAAAATTATGTTTAACAGAGGTGCCATGTTATCTGTATTTTGTTGGGACCTATCATAATTTAACAAATCCCACCAGGTAAATTGTTTTCCTAAACTATAAAATTTAGGTCTGACTTTTATAAATATATAAAATGTAAATAATCTAAACTTGCTGGAAACTTGAAATGTGAAAATCTAAATAAAACTCACCTTTTAAAGTTTATTGAAAAACAAATGCTAAATCCATCAAAGCCCACATTTCCTAGAAAGAGGTGAAGTACATGCCCTCTTACCCAATGAATAGGATTGTAAATTAAGGTAAGGGTTGTTGAC